CGGCCTCCCTTTACGGGAGACCACGCACTCCTATTTCAGACGAGGGGTCGGGGTCAGGGGTAGCATCCACAGGAGGTAAGAGGAGGAGGATCAGGGTCAGCAGGAGGCAGCGGACTCCTTCCCCGCCACCTTTAGACGAGGTGATGGAGGAGGAGCACGTGACGGGCATGCCCGAGGACGAGGTCGAGGACGAGGACGTCCGACAGACCGAGGATGAGGCGGCCGAGGACGAGGCCACCGAGGGCGATAGTTCTGCTACCCCGACTGTCTACCAGCGAGGTCCCGCGAGCCTCCCTCAGCCTTCGCTTCCTCACAACCGGGCACTGATTCGCCCTATGGCAAAGAGGTAAGAAACTATAGATATTATCACAACTACTTCATATGATAATGTTGGAAATCAAAAGAGGAACTGATAAATTTTCTTAATCACTTGTGCAGGGCCTGGTTGGTTTTGTCGGGTACTCCTGCATGCTCCCCCACGAGCATCCTTGGTGTTTTGTGCAGGAAATGGTACCCCAGCCTTGTGAACGTGTCCGAGGACGTGCGGGAGCCGGCCTACACGTGGGACAGGTACTAGTTGGCCCCTGACGACAGGTACCGCAACAAGCAGGAGCGGGTACTGGCGGAGTTTTGGGTAAGTCTCTCTCGCACAACATTTTCATTGGGCAAGTCTTTTATTGAAATAATGAATGGATACATCGGTTTTGTATGCAGAGGTATTTCAAGCCAGAAGAAGGACTTGAGGCCCGGGCGGATGAGGCGGCTGCCGCCGCCTGTAGGAAGTACGTCACCGACATGCACCACGAGGCGCGCGTGTAGGCCCATAGAGACTACTACGCCGTGGTGTTGAAGCAGTCCATCAGCAAGCCTGATGCAAGACAGGTGGAGCTGTCCCGGGCCCAGTACCTTAAGGTAGACGAAAAACATTAATAATGATTCGTTTTGAGATTAAGTCAGTTTAATTTTATATTTTTCTATGTCAAATAATCGATGACTTGTAGGTGATTCCCTGGTGGTGCCGATCCCACTCCGTGTGCTGGGAGATGATCGTGGATAGGTGGTTGTCCAACGACTTCGTTGAGAAGCACGCGAGGCAGCGGGACCAGCGTCTGCTGAGGCGAGGTGCTACTCACCATCAAGGCAGCCGCAGCCTCCCCACCTACAAACAAGCATATGTAAGTGATTTCTTTTATCTTATTTGACGCTGAGTTCTGCCTTATTTCTCACCATCTTGCCGTCTTACTCGCAGGAGGCTGCACACCCGGACATGGAGGTCTCGGAGTTCTCTGCGTGGGCTATATCCCACATGGGTAGGGCGTCTTCCTCTGTCTCCTTCGACCCGTCTGCCCCGCGCGAGGTGTACTCCGACACGACCGTGCACACTAAGGTCCAAGAGTACACCTCAAAGGTGAGGGAGGTCCATGGGGAAGATTACGATATGCGCACTGAGCCCATTGATGCAGAGACCATCATGATGCTAGGAGGAGGCAAGAAGCATGGGCGGCTGTGGATTGCAGACGGCGCCATCGACTCCACCACTGTTCCCTCTCTCGACGTGCTCCGAGCACGGAGCACGAGCTCCAGCCAGCCCATACGCCCACGGCCTACTCCGTCACTACAGTGGGTCGACGCTCTAGAGGTACGTCCTGTTTTACTCGTTGTGCGTTCATCTTTGCACACCTAAGTTACATTTGCATTACTGAAACATTGAAGTTTGTATTGCAGGCCAAGCTGCAGGCCTAGAAGCTCGTGGTCGAGGCTCAGAGCTCACAGCTGCAGGCCCAGAGGGAAGCGTTCGCGGCCCAGAAGAGGAGGATGCAAGAAATGGAGGCCTTCATGCGGAGTGTCCAGCAAGGGGGTGTACCTTTGCCGTTGGCAGCTCCTCCACCGCGTACTCCTACAGCCACTCCTGTAAGTATAAAAGTTCACTCTTACTAGATGCTTCCTTGACATACAACCATGGTTGACATAGAAACTTACTAGATGCTTGACATAGAAACTTACTAGATGCTTGACAAAGAGCCTTACTACATGCTTGCACTAGCTATGACATACAACCATGCTTGACATTCTTAATTTACTAGATGCTTGACATAGAAACTTACTAGATGCTTGCACTAGCTATGACATACACCAATGCTTCACATAGAAATTTACTAGATGAATCTCACATATGCAACCTCTTATCCTTTTTGCAGCTTCCGTCGGCGGGTTCGAATAACCCCGCTCATGCGTCACCGAATGATGGAGCCTTTGCTTCACCATCGTGTCATAGGTCGCCTTTTTGAGGAATTGTGCTTCGTCATATGCTTGGACTTGAGCTTCACTTGTGGTTGTGACTTGTGCTTAGACTTGATGGACTATGGTTGTGATATTTGACTTGTGGTTGCAATATGTTGTTATTTGAGTTGTGGTTGTGATATAATGTGTGAAAATGGTTTCGTTGTGATATATATGTGATTATTGTGATGTTTGTGATATATATGTGACATGTGATATATATTTGAACTGTTTATGTCAGTGGAATGCAAAAAACAAAAAAAAATTACAATTTCAGTTGATTTGCCGAGTACAATGGTCATGGCACTTAGCAAAGCTGGAAAACTTTGCCGAGTGCCAGGACATTGCACTCGGCAAAGATTTTTTTTTAAAAAAGCAAAAAATCTTTGCCGAGTGCCAAGCTGGGGAGGCACTTGGCAAAGAGCTTTTTAAAAAAATTAAAAAATGGCTTTGCCGAGTGCGCGCCGCCGTGGCACTCGGGAAAGAGTTTTTTTTAAAATAAAAAATGTCTTTACCGAGTGCCTTGTCGTCGCGGCACTCGGCAAAGAGTTTTTGAAAAAAAATAAAAAATGTCTTTGCCGAGTGCCCTAACTGTCGACACTCGGCAAAGGCGCCGTCAACGGAGCAGCGCCGTTGACGGCTGCTTTTCTTTGCCGAGTGCCGCCGTTGGCACTCGAAAAAGGATTTGCCGAGTGTCCGACAAATGGCCCTCGGCAAAGAGCCTCTTTGCCGTTAATTTTTTTTCCGAGGGCTCTTTGCCAAGGACGGCACTCGGCAAAGCCTTTGCCGAGTGCCTTGTGCCCTCGGCTAAGAGGGTGCCTCCAGTAGTGATAGCTAGGAAAACTTCTTTCCGGGTGATAAAATTAAAATCACGCATACGATCGAGTGATGATAATTGGTGGTCCCGATGAGCAGTCAACTCTTGGCCACCATGCATGCGCGCGTATGGTCTCTGATAAAGATCGATCAACATTTTAAGCAGTACTGCATTGGCTTTTTCTTCAGCACTAGAACACGAGCTAGTGCCTCTAGAACTGTACTGTACACACCACCTTGCGATCACATGATCGAGAAGAATATGCATCGAATCATTGTGAGGAATCGTCATATCTGGACAGCAGGACAGGGTGAGTTAGTATAGGCCGGCTTACTTAATCTATGCGTCGTCTAGCGAGGATTAATAATAGGAGAGGCTGCCTAATGACTCATCTTGAGAGGAGGTTTGGCCTGATCAAGGCCACGAACTCCACAGATTCTTAATTGTTAGATCGATTGATTATGCCTAGCTAATTCCAAGCACTTACGTTACCGTCCAGCAGCAAATCCTGATCATATTTCTCAAGAACTTACTCCAGTATACTTATTCAAAGATGCACCATAAAATACTAGCACCCACATTCATCAGCAAGGACCACGGCATAGTTGGAGGAGGACCCGGCCTATCGTATGCCATCTGAAGGAATCACGGGATCCACAGCGTGAGTTAGTATAGGCCGGCGCATGTAGATCTCTGCTATGTATATGCACATCGATCGCTCCATCTCAATGAGCTGTCCCCATCGTACAATACAAGCCCAAAAAGTATTCAGGAGCTCACCCGTATAATATCAGGCGTTGGTACCCCAGTAACCGCAGCTGCTTGACACGAATCAGCTGCGCCCAGAGCTCACACATGACTGTATCTAAGTACTATTTGTTTTGGAGATAGCTTTGTTGTCATGGTAAGAACTGGCAGGTGGAGACTGACTGCAGGGAGATCGATCACGCAGCAAGCTTAGCTGCTGCTCACATGCCGCCCTGCGTGCTGAGAGGTGTCGTACGGCAGGCATCCTTCCCCAAAGCTCCTTTTCCCCAGTTCACGCTTGCTGCTTGCATCAGTGAATATGGCCCCGTACGGTTCGCTAAAAAATCAACCGAAACACTGTTCCGGCTGATTTGGTGTGAACGAAAAATACTATTTCGGCTGAAAAAACAATTTGAAAAGTATGGATTATAAGATAAGCAAACATGGCCTATATATTTATCTTCATGCTATCATCAAAAGAACAAACAAGGAACATGGCATATGCTTCTCTATAGCTGCATACAGAATCGATGTACGAAACAATTTGCAGAGAATATATTACTCCATTACTTGGATCTTACTTTCATTCACTTCATTTTACAGAGGGTACGACGTACTACGAACAGTAGTGCCTAGACGCAGAGCTACTAGCTAGTTACATGGGGTGAAGTGAAGTGAACCTTCTCTGTTTGTTTCAAAGGTTCTTCTAGCCTTCTAGGACGGCATGTAGCTTTGCAGATGCCTTCCAGACCCATGGGGGGGGGGGGGGGGGGGGGGGACGAGGGACAAAATAACACGAGAATGGGTGGGCAGTACATTGCCTTGGAGTAGACACGGACACGGTTACTGTATTCGACAGTAGCGCCAACATGCTCAAAACATTTTTCAGTGACGTTGTGCTTTGTGTGTGGCCTCTTTTTCCTCGGTGGCGCTGGCGCAGCGCAGCACACAGTGGTCAGGGAATCGAAGAACATGTAATGCAGCAACCACCACGAGTCTGTTTCAGAGGCCACCACAAGCGAAGAATCGTCAGAGCGAGAGAAAGGAGAGAGGAGAGAAAAAAAATCGGTGGTGGTGGGGTATATGTTCGCATGATTGGACACCGATTCGATCGATTGACTAGTCGACCGCCCGACGGCCCGGCTGATGAGCTGAGCTACACCCGCGGCCGAATCATCGGGGCCGCCGAGGATTTCCGCTTCCATTCCACCAGACGGAGCAGGAAGTCCATCACCTCGCCGGGGTCCTGCAGGGAGTAGGAGGCGTTCGTCTCCTTGGGGCACCTGGACACAAGGATCCCGATGCCTTGGCCCCTCTTCCTCAGCACCTGATGCCATGCCACGCGAGAAGAGATTATCAGTATCAGCTTGCGCTTGCAGAAAAACAAATATATATAGAACACAGTCGAAATCGAAGAGAGATTCAGCATCGGCAGATGATAAGCTGAGCACCTTGAAAGCATCCTCGTCGGTGCGGTCGTCACCGATGTACACCGGGAGGACGTCGCTGCAGTTGGCGAATCCTGGAGAGAGAGCGAAAAATAGGCGGTGTGTCATCAGCTACGATTTGTTTTGGACAGGGGTGTGATACGCAAGTACTAAATAAAAACTGCAAGTGAAAACGACTGTGGATGATGACCGCGGGGGTCGTCTGTTGTTTGTCGTAATGCACGTACCGAGCGATTCGAGCAGAAACTCCAAGGCCTTGCCCTTGTCCCACATAATGCTCGGACGGATCTCCAGAACCTGATGCACCAAAGTTCCAGCAGTCTTGCTCAGTTTCTTTACTACTCACTAGTACTGCTATTATTAGGCAAGGACAAGGACAATCAATCAGCTGCATATATGTTCGGGGTTAAGTTTAATTACCTTCCTCCCTTGAGTGAGCTTCAGTTTGGGGTAGTCCTTGATCACTGCCTTGACTTGCTCGGCCAAAGCATTCCATCTCTGCAGGAAGATAAGGGAGGCGCGTGGTTAAGACAGATGGTGAGAATAGATTAGCCGCGCGTGATGCAACTTGGCGTTGAAGTGTGGTTGGCAACTTGGGCACTTGGCATCCCAAGATGGAGTAAGGCGTTGCCTTGCCTACCTTTTCATCAACACATCTGAAGTGCACGGACAGGCAGAACTTGTTGTTCTCCACCTTGGCGCCAGGCGTGGACTTCGTCTTTTCCACCAGCGCCTTGTACACCTAGCAAAAAACGGGATTCACCGCGTGCATGGCCATTGTTAATCTCCTCGTGCATCGGCTGGACTTCACAAGTTAAGCACAAGTGGACAAGCAAGTGCTCTTCTTCTAATCGACTTTAGCAGCAGCGTACCTCGTCGATCACGGGGAGAAACTCGCTTGCAGGTTGGCACAGAACTGACTCGGGCTTCAGATGCGAATCAGAGGGGAAGATTTAATTTGATCAGTCAAAGTCATGGAGTGGACAGGGTTGAGGATGATTGGTAGTCTCGGACGAACTCAAGGAGATGAAAGCAAGTGAGGAGAGCTAGAAAGCGTACATTGGAGCCTGGTCCCTTGATGTCCATGCCATGGCTGCCGGCGTAGTAGAGCTCCGAGAGGTCGACGAAGTTGCGCACCTGTGCAGCGCGACAACGAAGAAGAAGAAAGTCAAATCAGCCAATGGCCTATAAACTCGCGTGCGAGCTTGCCAAGTGTTTGCGGTGCTGACTGCTGAGACAAGTAGTGGCGCAGGCAATGTACCTTGTCGCGGCAGCGCCCGCTCACGATCGCTGTCGGGAAGTGCTTCGCGACGTCGCGCACCGCCGCTCTCATCTGCGCACCAGTACACCGCAAGGGTGAAAACGTCAGTCGAGGGTGAACTTTTGTCCTGGCGGCCGGCCGCCATGAAAGGTTGTACGTGCCGGCCGGGGACTGGGGTAGAGCAGCACGAGGCCTCACCGCGTCGCTCATGTAGGCGGCGTCGGGGTCGGCGACGATGGGGGAGAGCGTGCCGTCGTAGTCTAGGAACATGACGACCTTCTTCCCCTTGCACGCGCTGGCAATCTGCTCGAACTTCCCGAGCGCCGACGGGTGCTTCATCTGCAAGAGAGGCCAAAGCCAAACAGGGTTAGCATCGTACCTGAAGGCAACAAGCCATGCACGCGCGCGTGCAAGCTCCCGACGCGTGTCAAGAAGACGAGCTAGCGCGGCAAAGAAGACTAGCCCACCATCCAGGCCGTGAACTCATCGACGTCGGCGGCGGCGCGGGAGCGGGTGGGCGAGGAAGAGCGCATGGCGTCGACCCAGGTGCAGCTGGCTGAGCGCGCGGCCGCCGCGGCCAGGTCGAGGTACCGCAGGGACATGGCGCCGGCGGCCGCGCCCCGGCAGGCCAGGAGGGCCGGGCTCGCGCCCGGCAGCGCGGCCCCGGCCGCAATGCCCATCTCCGACACGACCACGTCCTGGTTCGTCATGTGCTTCCGCTTCACCAGCGCCCCAAGCAGCAGGTTCGTTTCGTGGGAGGCAAAGCCGGCGACTTTCTCGATCGTCTCGTCCCAACACGAGACGGGACGAACGCAGCTCGCGTTAGGGGACTTGGGGGAGTGTGCACGCTTCTCAGGGCTTGAGATGGGTGGATGCGAAGTGGGAGGAGTGAGGGGAACTTATAGCTCCGAGGTGGGCCCGGAGGGCCTGCCACGTAGGATCCCGAGTGGAGCCGACGTCTGGGCCGGGGTGGTCGCCGGGCTGCTTAGCTGGTAGTAGGCCGCAGCGGCATTGGTGCATGATGGCCCTGCTCCCTGCCGTATTGTTTTGTTTCGTAGCATGCAAGGGCAACTGGGCAAGGAGTAGTCGTCTAGATGTGCATAAACACAAGACCGCAAAGCACTCTTTTGCCCATGCTTTGCTATTTTGGGGTTTCTGTTGGGTAGTTGGTATAGCCCACGAGAACAAAGCCAATGGGCCACATATACTGGTTTCAAATTGGAAGGGGACAATAGAGTCCGAACCTATTGACCCGATGGGTAGACCAAGGGCAGATCTAGGGGGTTTATCAGGATGTATCGACCTCGACGAAATTTGGTAAATCCTCTAGCAAAACATTGTTCAGTCTCAAGAAAAATTATACCATTTAATGAATCTGACCCTGATGACCCCGATGATGCTTTCGTCTAGATTCGCCATTAGGGTAGACCCACACGACCACTCGACGTGATGTCGTCTTTCTACCTCCATCTCACCCTGATGCAGCTATGGAATTGTCACATCTTGGCCCAGTTTGAATTGGGCCCATGTGTGTGTTGATGTGAGATTGTCTAGTTTTTAGTCTCACCTTAGTTATTGTGGGTGGATTAGATTCTTCTAGAGGACTAGAGGATATGTCACAAGCCTCACGGCTCATGTTACAATTTACGCGAAGCAAGGACAATATATAAGTGGGTTGGTGCGAGCGTGAGGTCCACTTATACGTCATTTGAATCTCATCGAATTCTAAGAATCTGGATAAAAACAATCGCAACAGTTTTATTGGATTTTAGGATTCTAAAAATATATGAGTTAAAATCCCTCTAAAGTCTTGATCACAGCGGGTGTGGCAATATTTCGCGATGGTTACCACTTACGGGTATTTGCTCCACCCACACCACACCATTCCTACATGAAACCACTCGAGTGGTTTACCATACAATGAGCAATTTTAACCTAGACTGTCCATAAAAAAAAACTCAGCCCCTGGGGTAAGACCTCCTTTGATGCATTGACAGAAAAGGGTTGTTAGTTTTCTGTGCATGTATTGGCTGGAGCTATGCCAACTTATTAGGAAATGATAGAGTGTTTTTTCGACAGGAATGGTAAGAAAAATGTTTGTATGTCTTTGACGACAGGACGATAGAGCCTAGGTGAGCAGTATGGAAGCCACTAGACGAGGAATGGCTGACGATGAATATTTATGGTGCATACGACAAGGACTCGTGGGGGATGGCATTGGAGTGGTAATCCGCGATGACAAGGGCATGGTACTATTATGTTCGTGAAGTTTTGTATAGAGAGGGGTATGGTACAACTATGCTCGTGGAGTTCTGTATGGAGAGGTCACAACGCGGAGGAGATCAAACCTATAGCCGATCGTGAGGGTCTCTCCCTCACAACAGAATGGTGCAGGCAGAAGGTTGTGGTGGCTGACAGAGTGAGTTGCGATCCTGTCTGAAGTTCCTGTTCGATGAGACAATAGCAGCTGGTAGGCGGTTGACAGAGTGGCAAATATGTCATACAAAAAGATAGTGTAATAGTGTTGCCCACGAAACATACAAAACTTTTAGCGGTTTGGCGTTTCTCCTTTCCAGCTTGCGTCAAGCATATTATTGCTCGGTAATGTAACTCTATTTTTGAGATATAAAAAGCTCTTTTTCCTCGCAAAAAAAGTTTATCATATGGTCCATCCATAGGCTTTATGGTAGTTAGATGCAAGATGATATGTTGTATATAATATGTTGTAACACCCTCGATGTTATGCCCTAAACAAACTACTAAATCATATCATGATCATCGTGCTTATGTAATAATGCATGTGATAGAAGGTATTGATAAATTTCTTGTAGCCTAAAATGACGACTAAAAATGTTAAATGGAAATTTATTCGATAACTCATGTTATGTCAAGTAGGGTGAAAGACCAATTTTTATGGAGCAAAAGTATTATAGAACATGTGTGTGACACCTAAATAAGGTTTGAAGTATAAACTTTGTAGATGACAATGCAACTCTTGATGTAGAAAAATAATATGACTAGTTAGTATTTCTAATGGCTTAGAAATGGAACTTGAAGTCAAATTCAGCTCAAGACTTGGAACAAATTTTAAGTTTGAAAACAGTGTGACAATGCCATGTTGGTGACTTAATTCTGGAAAATCTAGCTAAAGGTCAATGTTGTGTTTTTGCTCCTTATGGTAGACTGATGTACCATCGTTACCATGGTTGAGGTAGTTTAGCTTCAACTGTGTTAGGTTAGTTTTTAGACATGCTTTAAATTCGTGCAAGTCATATGTCTGGCCCGTGTGAGCGGTCACCTCGCGCGGCTGGCCGTGTTCCGCGCGCCGCGGTGCCGAGCCCGGTCGGCCTGTCTGGCCGTGGGTGGCCGTGGCCGGCCCTAGCGGGCCACTGTCATCGCCCTGCAGCGGCTGGCCGCAGCGCTACTACCCCCGCTGTCACCTTTTCACCTTGCGCCGTGGTGCTGCTGTTGTCCTTCTTGCCATCATGCGCGTGGGTGTGTCCCTGCTTTAGGCACCATCGCATCACCGTCGTGTCCGTGTTCTCTGCAATCCTGTGCCGCTGCTTGGCCCTGTCCATTGGCACTGTCTCTACCGCGTGTGCGCTGCCGGCCTGGCCATGCGCGGGGCCAAGCCGACGCCGCAGCAGTCGTCGTCTGGCTATCGTAGCGCTCGTCTCGCCGCTCAATTCACCTACCCGCCGAGTCATTGCCTGCCTTGGCTGTCTTGTAGCTCTACGATCCTGCCCCCACTGCCCTGCCGTTCACGCGCCGTTGTCGCATTGGCGCGCTGCGCCTGGCACTCTTGTTTGTTCCGTTTCCGTCGCTATCCCCTCACTCACTGACGCGCCTCTATTACCGCCTCCACGGTCATGTCCCCACGGGGTTGTGCTCTTGTCATGTCTTGGCCGGTCCGCGTTAAGTCGAGGCCACGGGCCACGATGTTGCAGCGGTAGCGCACCATCCCTTCTAAATCCCCAACCCAGGCTCCCAGTCCAATTCCTCATGCCACGATGTAGTATAGGTAGTTAATTAGGCACCCCATCCTACTCAAGCCCAGCTGAGCATTGCCGACCGACTAATCGTTGTTTTGCTCACCACCGGTGTGGGGGTTTGACCCTAGATACCCACGACAGACTACATAGGCTGCGCTCCCGAGGCGGTCTAGCCCACAAGACGAAGACCTACGGTGCACGGCACAGCTCGGCGTGCACCGCAAGACATCAAGGGCGATATCCTGAAGATACTATGAGATCTGTTAGGATACGTTCGATCCCATGATTCATGTATTCTGTTATTACTTTCCGGATATTTCCTAGATCTAACCAACTTGTAACCCTGCCCTCCAGACTAAATAAGGCGAGCAGGGACCCCCTCAAAAGACACGCAAGATCATACGAAGCCAATACAAACCAACAGACCATAGGAGTAGGGTATTACGTCGCGCTGATGGCCCGAACCTGTCTAACTCTTGTGTCTCTGTTGTCTTCTTGTTCTCGATTACAAACATCTCTACCGATCAATCTACCTTCGTGGGATACCCCTCGGAGGACAGCCGATGATATTTTGTCGACAGTTGACGTGCTAGGTAGGGGTGTGTGTGTTGTTTCCATGTCGCACAAGATGGTACATTTTGTAGGCTCTTCATCCTCCCCGTAGCCCGGCCAGATCTTCACGGTCAGATCGATCTCCTGGATCATCAACGCTGACGGAGACGGAGAGATCATCGAGCCAGTGCAGATCGATTCTACGCCGACCACCCCAACTCCTGCAACTGCAGATTAGATCTTGGAACTGCCTTCGAGGTTGTCTTCATCAACAATTCGCCGCCCGCTCCCCCGCTACCCGAGGAAGCGGATCAGCAACGACAATCTAATCGCATCCATTGATCAGATTGGCTAGAAGCTCGTCGACTACGTCTCCACCGTAGAATCAGCTCTGACTACTCTGGTTCAGCGCCGACCATCCTCCGATTCAGATCCATCGGAGGCCGATTAGGAAACTCCAGGGGTTACGGCCCTACCCTTTGGGCTCACCAGCATCGCCGCCTCCAAAAAAGATGCCCTAAGGGGCAAATTCGCCGACTAGGTGGGAGACATCTATCCTCTCGTCGACCACATCGCCGACTAGCTCTCGCCGACTGTCAACATGCTACAAATCAGTCGATGTCCCGAAGCATCCATACAAACCATCCTGGAGAAAAAACTAGACTCCAAGTCCCAGGGCTCGACGGAGACTATCGTCGAAACCGCCGCCTTTCAACCTCCTTTCCCACCCTTCTGAGGATGTAGGATTTTCAATGTCAGTGTCGATAGCCCTCCACGGGATGGGGAAACCGACGAGGACCGCGCTGCTCGTGTCAATGGGAACACCAACCGTGCGCAGAGCCGAGCAAATGAGGCCAGCATTGTGCTAGCCGAGGCTGCTCGCAACGAATAGCTCAACTCGCAAGGGAGGCCACGCCACTCCAACGTAACCTCAATGATGAATTCATCCATGTCGATGGCCACGATGTCTACAAGACCCCAAGCGCCAACTTGGCCGTGGCTACCGATGAGCTCGCTCGGCTCGAGCAAACGCTAGAAGTCGTTAAGGTCACCGCAATGCTCAAAGCTGCACACTGCTAGGTCAACAAGATCCGCTAGGATCAGAGACCTTCCTACACGACGAGCTCGATTCACCGATCTATCGTGCCAAGATCCAATCGCCACCC